GCAGCATATCAAGTGAGTTATGTAAAATTTGTTTACTTTCAAATTCACACTCTACTGCAGCGATGACATAATCTTCTGAAGTATTGATTGTGTTATGTATGAGTCGTGATAAAACGTCTGCATACCCAAAACTGTTAGTTGAAATAAATTTTAATTCGTAGTCGTATGCAATCAGTTTAATTGCCCAACGTTGAAGTCTATTTGCTTGATGAACATTTATTCCAGTTTTATTACCAAATATAGCCAAAAGAGGCTTATGATCCGTTTGAAGTTTAAATCTTCTACCAAAAACCATTCTGTAAAATTTTGTGACCGCGAAAATAAGCGAAAGAGCTGCTTTTTCTATTTGGCTATATTGTTTTTCTGCTGGCGTTAATGATCTCGACGCATGACAAATTAACCATGTGCCATTGAACCGTCGTCAGCTTCATGTAAAATGCAAGCTCCGAGCCCATACTTTGATGCATCTGCAGCGACTACTATGCTTTTCAGTGGATCGTAATGCGCTAATAATAACTCTGATGACAAAATTTGTTTGAAACCATCCAAACAGCGTTGCTGAAGTTCCGTCCATTGCCACTGCTTGTGGTTTTGAAGTAGTTCGTCTAATGGTCCTCGGTATTTGCGCATGTGATTTAGGAATTTTCCATAAAAATTGATAGCACATAAGAGTGCTCTAAGTTCTGATTGATTGGTTGGCGCAGGCATTGTCTTAATTGCTTCAATGTTTCTTGGATCTGGGCGAATACCGTCTATACTGACAATATATCCCAAGTAAGCAATTTCAGGAACTGAAAAATTGCATTTTGCGATCTTGAGTTTAAACCCGTATTGATAAATACGTTGTTGAACTTCCTGTATGTTGTTGTCATGCTCTTGTTGGTTTCTACCTGAGACAAAGATATCGTCAATGTGAGCAGCTGCGTAATGTAAGTCCGCCAGCATTTTATCCATAATTTGTTGGAAAATTGCCGGAAAAGTTTTGACGTCAAATACCATACGCTTGTATTTGAATAAACCTAGATGCGTGTTTATTGTGAGAAGTTCTTGCGATTTGCTATCAACTTCGATTTGAAGAAAAGCGTCCGAAAGGTCTATATGACTAAATACTGTTGCATTGCTGATTTTTGCAAAAATATCCTCTGGAAGTGGTAATGGATACTTGTAAGATTTAAGCGCGTCGTTTAGGCCAGTTGAGAAATCAGCGCAAATACGAATGCTTCCATTTCGCTTTCTGATAACTACGATTGGTGCGGCCTAGTCAGAGTAATTGATAGGTGCGATAATGTCGAGATCTTGAAGTCGCTTAATTTCTTCTTCAACCAAATGTTGCACTACGTATGCTACCGGGCGCTTAGGTCGGAAAGCAGGTTAACAGTTTGGTTTAATACTTAAATGTGCCTTAGTTTTATTTCAAAGACCCATAGCAGTCTCGAAAAGAAATAATTTTTCCGGAAGAAATTTGCAATTTGAAGAGTTTATGGAAACATTACTTGCCTGTTTTGTTGTTGAAATTAGGCAGCAAATAGCATAAAGCGTCGTATCGCTAAGTTGAAAAGCAGTTATCCAGTTCAATCCGAATACGTTCAAATCGATCGCTGTGACGAAGCACGTAAGTGTTCAAATTGTGTCTTTTATCTGCACATCGCAATTTGATTAGCAGATTGTTGATTTTAACGTAGACATATTTACGCTGTGAAGCTGTTCGTTGTGTATATACTGTTGGATCGTGGCTGTAAAAATGTTCTTGCTTTACCAGTGCTATTATTTTTGTTGTTGTTATTGCAGTTTGATTTTGCTGAATTTTTTGCTTTGCAATAACCTTTCTTATAGCCTATATTGTGACAGTTTTCGCATTTATGATTTTTGTATGGGCAGTCACGCATTGCTCCACAAAACCACCAGGTGTTTTCGGTTTGTGAATGTTCTTAAGCTTATTTGCTAGTAATCGATTCACCTGATTTTCGCGTGATTTATTTTCTACCAGCGCTGTGTCGGGTTTTAAATTAATGATACGCTGACACTCGTTTGTAAGTTTTTCCAAGTTGATGGTATCAGCTTCTGTGTCCAGTTTGGTCAATATTCGGGTTCTAATTTCGAAGTCTACTTCCGATTTCAGCCCCAATACGATCATTAAACATTTGAACTGGTCCAGTGACAGGCTATTCAACTTAAAATTTTCTCAGTGTTTATTAACCTCGGCTGCGTACGTAGTATAGTCGGTATCTGGTGGTTTGGTTAACTGTAAACAGGTATAGCCTAAAATGAATTGTGACTTTTGGAGTCCAAACAGATGTTTTAATTTCTCCACTATTGTAGCGAAATTATATTCACGTGGATGGTTAGGCAAAATGAAGTCCATATATTTATTATATACAGTTGTACTGACTTTCCTTAATAGAAGCCTGACCTTCGTTGTGTCATCAAGTTTGCTAGCATCTACCAAGAATAAATCTTCATACCTCGTGTACCACGTTTGAAATGTTAGATTATTTTCTGGATCATAAACAAATTCCGTGACACTCGAAGCTAAAATCTCCAATCTCCATCTCCAAAGTTCACGCATTGCTTCCGTGCTTTCGCACGTTGGTTTTGCATTTCTTGGAAAAATACCTATAATTCTTGTGGATTCATTTTTTTCTTTTGTACATATATTTTTCAATGTAATGCAAAAAAAAAATTCGTATCCTCGTCGCTGCTATTATATCTGTATAATTTCAATCTTTATTTATTAAAAACTCTTAATTATTATTATTTCACAAGTTACCAAACTAACATGTGGATTCTTCTTTATACGTCATCTGTCATCACTGGCCAGGGTTGCCAACACGAAGTATGTGCGTGTAAGATCAACCTATTCAACAACAACACACTACCAAACTGTCAGTTGGAACACACTGTCAACACTCTAACCTAGATTGCATTGAATAACAAAAATCAATGGATTTATGCGACATCAACATCTTCACGAGTATGTAATAAGGAAATCATACCACTGAATCTGAAAGGTTCAGGCTTATTGACGATTGATTTAGATTGCGTGCTTAAACACAACTTCGTTTCCGTGCAAGGACAACAAATAATTGCAAGCACGTCAATATATTCATACAGTAGAATTGGCAATATTTCCGAATTAAAGCTATAATCGTCTATGAACCATCAACTGCTTACAGCGGCAACAGTACACTGTCAACATTACGCGACAACCAATACGATCAACAGCTGAAAGAGCTCACAGTATTGCAGAAGTTTTTGCAGTTATACCAGATACATGATCTTCCAAATTAATATCAGTCGCACAAGTACCACAGCTTCACCTTAGCGTACGTAGCACTCCTTATAAGTCTGCTATTTATCATTATCATGATAAAAAAGAAATTGCAGAAGAAACCTGTAAACCCAATTGAAGCTCCATCCGATGCAGAAGCCACCCGCACACTACCTATACAATGACCCGTCGGCAGTCACAAGAATTCGTCATCAACATAAGGTCCGACTGACTACATGACAACTAGAGGTTCATTGTTGAACTGTCGTTCAATGCGGGGGAGAATGTTAAATGTTATATTATATGAATTGTATAAATTTATTTGTTTGTATTAATTTACTTGTAATAATTTGTTTATATTGTATGAAATGATTTGTTTGTCTTAATAATTTGTTTAAAATATATTTATTGTAAAAAATATCTTTGTCAATTCAATGCCCAAAACACGTCACACGCTTTTGTTTGCACATACCATATAAACAAAAGCGTCAAATTTCGTCTGCAAGAAAATGCACTCTTGCAGTTTGTAACAAGTTCATTTTTTGGCATGCCTGGGCAAGGTTATTTTAGTTAATTTATTTGTTGTAATTGATTATTAATTTTTAAATAAAAGGCATAATTGAATTTTTGACAATTCAATTGATGCGAAGCCACATTCGTCATTAATTCTTTTAATTGTTCTATTAGCTTTGTAAAATTAGTTCTAGTACTAAATTTACGTCACATAAGCGCCTAATCACTGGATTTAAGTGTTCAGTGTTTAGGATTCTTGAATACTGTTTACGCTACTTGATGCTAACCCAGATCCTTAATCTGTGTTAGCTTGGCAGCTTTATTTGTTTGAACACTTGTAACTCAAACTACTTGTTATTTTTTATTTTAATCGTAATAAACAAAATTCACTATTTATGTATTCAATTTAATTCAATTTAAATTCAATTTAATTATTTTCAATTTATTGAACGTTTAAATGTTTGTGAAATTGTTCCAAAAAAATGTTTTTCTACGATTCATTAAAGGAGTTTATTTTTAAAGATTATTTCAAATTAATTTATTTAAATATTATTTATCAAAAAAACTTCAAAAGGAATTATGTGTTTTTGCACAAGATGAAAAGTATTTAAAAATTATTTAAAATAAATTCATTTAAATTTTATTTATCAAATAAAATAATTCAAAAAGAATTGTGTTTTTTCATAAAATAAAAAAAAAATGTAAGTAAAAAACGCGTACTGCATCACCGGTAGTCAAAACAAAAAGAAAGACAAGAAATTTAAAAAACAATATTAAAGGTAACATTTATCTCTATGTAAAATTTCCGTATGCAGTAAGCAAGGTTGACGAAAGTCAACATTGAGTTGCATATTAACAAATAAACGTGAGCAGTACGCATATAAATTTAAATAAATGTAATACAGTACAAAATATAATATAAAAATAATATAATGTATATATATAAAACCATAATAATGTAAATCTTAATAACTATATACTAAATAAGTATAAGCATAAACAAATACAGTCGTCGAAATCACTGGATTCAAGTATTCAGTGGTTTTTTTTTTTGATAGAATCAGCATAACAAAGAATATTTTATATAGAACGGAACCCAGCGGGACTTTCAGCGCTGAGGTATTCAATTGCTTCAGCGCTGAATGGTAATACCTTGCGCTAAAAGAATATTTTTCTGTGGAATTATTACTAGAGACTTGAAGAGATTTCCAGACTCGACCCGATCACTTGTTCCGGCTTACCCTCTGTCCTTAAAGCATCTGTAAATACAAAAGTATGTTATTGTATACGCTAAAGTAAATTATGTACAATATACCATACCAAAAAGTGCTGCTGTCACATTCTTCAACGCTCTTAAGAACTTCTTGCCTTGTGTACCATCAAAGTTGTACTTTATGAGTATACTTTCTCCAAAATTTCACGAAATCTTTCCCGTAATTGGTTGTTTGTCAATAACGCGTCTAATTGATGCAGCCTATAAATAACGTAATAGATGAAAAGAAATATATGAGTTAGTAAATTTGTTACATGGGAAAATATTAATAAGTTGAAATTGAAAGTAAGAAACATAATTTAACTTACAACTACTTCAACACCAGTGATTTCTTCGTTAAACTGAAGTAAATCCTACTCAGATTGAATTGGAAACCCACATAAGAATTTAACCCACATAATCGTCACCTCATTTCCATGAGCACATTCCATGAGCTTCGTTACACATTCTTGTACTAAGCTGTTGGCTATGTATGTCTTTTACATGCTTTTGATAACTGCTTGGTTGTCCAGCGCTATCAGAATCTTTTTCTGATACACCTGACAATCAAATAGGTGATCCAGAGCATGTGAGACCGCCATAAGTTGCGCTTGATAGACGGAAACATATATTTCTAGATGTAGAGTACACGTTAGATTTAGCTCTTTCGAGTAAACCCAGCAGCAGCTTTGCCATCCATTAAGGAGCCATCGATAAATATGCATATGTCATTCCTTTCACATTCATTATATAGAAGGCCGTCTACTATATAGTGTTCTATAGGACAGTTCTGTCCCATAAACTCTCCTCATAGTCTCCAATGGCATCTGCGTTTCCTTGACCGCGGTTTGGTCGAGATCAAGAATCTTACCATGGCCCACTAATTTTCCGAAGTTGTTCCACGTGGAGCTCCGGTTCATGCGAATTGCTGCCAGTGCCGCCGTTTTCTTTATATGTAAATCCAACGGAAGCAATTCTAGCATCGCCTCTAATGCCGGTGTTGGTGTAGTTCGCATAACGCCTGTTATTCCAACACAGGCTAGTCGCTGGACTCTATTTAACTTCGTTTTTATTGTCTTTTGGGTGATTTTAAACCCCCGACAACTGACGCATATGTTATAATATGTCTGACCATCATCGTATAGATCCAGTGCATCGATTTTGGGGATATCGCCCATCGCCTTCCGGACACTCTCTTACATTGAAATAGACCTCTCTTCGCTTTCCTGATCTTTTCATCCACATGTTCATTCCAAGTCAGTTTATTATCTAGGACAACACATAGATACTTCACCGACTTTGATATGCGAATGTTATTATCGAAAAGTTGTAAGGGCTCCACTGACAGACTTCTCTTCCTCGTGAAGAGGATAGTGTCTGATTTCGTGACATTGATGACCAGGCCTTGTTCCCTACACCATTTTTTGACGCATTTGAGAACACCTCTCATTACGTTTCTAATGGTGTCTAGGAACTTGTCTTTCACTATCAGTGCTATATCGTCCGCATACCCAATTGTTTGTATGCCCTTGAAGTAAAGCTGTTGAAGTAGAGAGTCTATGGTCACGTGTTGGAATTTATCAAATGTAGAACACACCTTTTTCAATAAAACGCGTTGTTTTCTTTTCGAGTGTATAATCACAACTGTCGTTATTTATTAAATTAAATTATTTAAGGCTAAACAAAAGCTTATTAAAGCTTGACAAAAATATCTATATATGTGTAATGTTATTAACATTGTGGTAGGATTTAACTTCAACACTCCTCCTCAATGTTTATAACATAAAATAATATACTTCATTTTATTACAATATAAAATACTAACTTATAATATATACAATTTCATCAATTCAATAATTTTTATTAATATCATTCATCATTCATTATTTTAATCCAAGAGCCATAGTTAATTTACAATGCTTAATTTTTTGTAAGTTCTTGGTAAAGATATCTGCCAACATTATATCAGTTGGACAGTATTGTAAATCAATCTCAAAGTGATATTTTATATCTATGTGCTTACTGCGAGCATGATATACAGGATTTTTGATTAAATTCATAGCACTCATACTGTCACTATTTATCATTATTGTTCCAATATCACTAAGTCCTATTAGTTCTGACCGTAGTTTTCTTAAATATATAGCTTCTTTGGCTGCAGCAGAAATCGCCATATACTCCGCTTCTGTGCTGCTCAGAGCCACTGTAGTCTGTTTTTTTGCTCTCCCAACTGAATACACTTCCTGCCAAGACAAACGCATAGCCCGTATACGATTTTCGATCAGTTGCATCACCTCCCCAATCTGCATCTACATACGCTTTAATTGCTGCACCACTCTTATTGTAATGCAGTTTCATGTCGATGGTTTTGCTAAGATATCGTAGAATATGCAGGTCTTGTATTAATAGCAATATACATTAATGAGCCAATCAATGACTGGTATTCCGTTATATCAACTTTATTACAACTTTCATTTATGCAATGTACCTGAAAGTTTGTCTCAAGAGGGGTAGAGACTGGGCGACACACACTCATACGATTTTTCTTTAAGAGCTGCAATACAAGTTGTTTTTGACTAATAGTCAAAGCACCAGTTGGATTTTCACGCTCCACTTCCATACCCAGAAAATTATTTATAGGACCCTTATTTACTATCTGAAAAACATTAGAGATTTTCTTTATTATTGCGCCCAACTCACCTAGGTCTGTACACACAAGTAACAAATCATCCACATACACTGCGATGATATTCAAACATTTATTGTTATTTTTTGTGTATACACATGGTTCGCTTCGGCATGAGACAAATCCTATTTTCTCCAATTCCTCATTCAATCTGGAATGCCACATTCGGCCTGACTGTTTAAGTCCATATAAAGATTTTTTGAGCTGAAGCACTTTATTATCATCTTTCTCGAATAATTTCGGTTGCTCCATAAAAATTGTTTCTTCGAGATTACCATTCAAATATGCTGATGAAAAGTCAAGGTGATGAACATGAAGTTCATATTCTACTCTATAGCTAAAATTATTCTTATGGTTTCGTATCTCACTACCGGTGAAAATATTTCAGTATAATTAACAACGTATTTTTGACTACAGCCCTTAGCGACCAATCGTGCTTTGTACCTCTCGATGTTTCCTGTTGCATCGAATTTCACTGCAAAAACCCATTTACAGCCGATAGCTTTTTGCCCTGTTGGTAGCTTCACCGCGTCCCATGTATGATTTTTTACCAATATATCATACTCCTCCTGCATAGCGCGTCTCCAGTAAGCGGACTGTTCGCTCTGTAGAGCTTCGAAGACTGTTTCTGGGACTATTATATCAGTTGGCGTCTTGACTGGAGTTTACAATATCACATTGTGGTCTTAAATTATAACCAGCTCTTGTACCAGTATAGTCTTCGGATTCTGGAACATCAGGTATATCATCTTCCTGTGGTGTATTCATTTGACTACTTTCTTTGTTGGCAGTTCCGTTCTTCTCACTGTTTTTGAGATTTTCAGTTGGAATTTCAAATTCATTATCTGGAATAAAGCGGTCAAGATTACTTGCACTTAATAAAGGTAGGAGATCAATATTGCTATTATCGTTTAAATTTTCAACGAAATACACATCGCGACTTACAACAAGCCTTTTATTTATTTTGTCATATAGCCGATATGCTTTGGTTTTTCTGCATAGCCAACCATAATCATTTCTTTGCCCTTTGGTCGAAATTTATTTTTCTCAGTTATATCAAGAGCTATCGCCAAGCAACCAAATACTCGCAAATGACTTACCACAGGTTTCTTTTCCCACCAAACTTCATATGGAGTCAAGTTCTTTATTGTTCTTGTTGGTGATCGGTTTCTTATATATGCTGCAGTGTTAATTGCTTCACCCCAGAACTTCTCGTCGACACCTGCGTTTAAGATCATACTTCGTGCCATCTCTACTAAAGTTCTGTTGACTCTTTCAGCAACGCCATTCTGTTGTGGAGTATGAGGCACAGTCAATTGTCTAAGAATACCCTTTTCATTTAAATAATTATTAAATTCTGTATTTACGTATTCAGTGCCATTATCACTACGTAATATTTTAATTTTTTTATCTGTTTGGCATTCAACCATGCTTTTAAATGATTTGAAAGCATTTAAAACTTCTGATTTTTGCCTTATAAAGTAAACAAAAATATATCGCGAGTTGTCGTCTACAAAAGTAACAAAGTATCTGGATCCTCCGATTGAATTAACATTTATTGGTCCACAAACATCACTATGGACTAAGTCTAAGATATTTTTCGTTTTACTTTGAAACGATTGAAACGGTTTAATGTTGCATTTGCATTTAAGACACACTGTGCAGTTTATATGTTTTTGATCTGAATCAAATTTTAAGCCCAGCACTAGTTGTTTATTTTTTAATTCGATTAAACTATTAATATTTAAGTGTCCGTACCGTCTATGCCACAGAACTAAATCATCATTTATATTATTATTAAAAAACAATTGCGTTTTTAAATCGATTGTTTTCTTTAATAATTCACAAAAAAATAATTGTTTTATTTGCTTTGCTTTTAACACAGTTTCACCGTTTTGATCATCAATATACGCGTTATTTTTATCGAATGTCACTTTGTAACCATTGTTTGCTGCCTTGCTTACAGAAACAAAATTACATTGCAATACCGGAACATACAACACATTTTTTAATATAAGTACACCCATGTGACTCTTTATTCTCACGTTACCACGTCCTATAGCTTTGAAAAATTTATTACCTGCAAGCATTATTTTTTCACTGCACTGCTCAAAATCTTCAAACATTTCACGATGTGCGCACAAATGAGAAGGTGCGCCACTATCCAAGCACCAAGTTTTTTTATCAAGTACCGTGTTTTGACTAACTCCAAAAACAGAAAAAAATGATTTTGAATACTCTCTAGAAACTTTTTCAGTTCTCTTAACAGAAGTTTCTCTTGACATTTAAAGTTACTCTTTTTTCTTTTGGTGTGCTCGTTGTTGGAATATTTATGGCTTGTTGTAGCAACTAATGCTTGTACAATACCATCTGCTTCGACTGTTTCGTTAAGTTTTCTCCGCTCACTTTCTTCAAATAATTTTGTTTTTAAAGCACTAAGCTTTGGGAGCTGATCTCTTGTTTCTAACGCAACAACAAAGTTTTCATAACTTTTTGGCAAACTTGCTAAAATTATTATTACAAACAATTCTTCTTGCAATTCAAGGCCAATTTCTGAAAGTTGTTCAATGACCTTTTCGAAGCTCGTGATATACTGCTGCATGGAATCACCCTCGCTCATGCGCATATATATCATTTTCTTAAACAAAGATACCTTTCTTATCGGTCCAGTGGGCTGATGAATTTCTCTTAATGCAGTCCAAGCGGATTTTGCGGTATTACATTTTTTTATATGTCCAATTTCTGAAGTTTTTATTGACAACGTTATTACCGCCAACGCCTTTTCATCGTTCAGTCTCCACTTTTCACATAAATCCACATCTTTTCCATCCTTGGTCGTTTTAGGCATTTTTTCACTTATGACACACCAGAGCCCTTGGTGTATGAGGACACTCCGCATCTGGATACTCCATGAGTCGTAATTATTTTCATCCAGTTTATCAAATTTATATATAGAATTCATATTACTTGAGTTAAGCCTGGGCCCATAACCTGTTGGAATTTATCAAATGTAGAACACACCTTTTTCAATAAAACGCGTTGTTTTCTTTTCGAGTATATAGTCACAACTGTCGTTTTTTATTAAATTAAATTATATAAGGCTAAACAAAGGCTTATTAAACCTTGATAAAAATATCTATATACATATGTGTAATGTTATTAACATTGTGGTAGGATTTAACTTCAACATCACGTTCCACAGAAATGGTGAAAGCACCCCTCCCTGTGGTTAGCCTCTGACTGCTCTGCCTCTCAGTCTATGTCTTTCATTTTGTAGGTTTACTGCTCCTTGCCTTAACATGAAATCTATCCATCCAATAATGAGTGAACCGACTTCTCGGTCAGCTAGAGCAGATTTTAATTTATCAAAGCTTACTTTGTCAAAGGCTCCTTCGATCTCCATCATGATGGCCATCGAAATGCCTCCTGAAGTCAGCTCTCTCTCAGCTGTCCTCACGACTTCGTGCAGGGCAGTTTCTTTGGACCTCCCCGCCCTGTAGGCATGTTGACATCTGCTTAAAGGATATTTCATTAGCGTGGTGCATTCTAGGTAGTTCACTATTACCTTTTCCATAGCTTTAAGCATGAAAGAGGTAAGGCTAACTGGCCTGAATGACTTTGCTTCTGTGTAATCCTTCTTTCCTGCCTTTGGTAGAAAGGTCACCCTTGACTCTCTCCAAGCTTTAGGGACGTACCTTGTTGCCAGTGATGTCCTGAATATTTGCGTGAGCCTAACTGCGAGCAGGTCAATTCCCTATCGCAGGAGTGCTGGAAAAATGCCATCCAACCCCGGTGACTTGAATGGAGCGAATGTCAAAATGACATTCCTAACTGCATTTATGGTCACTATCCGTTCTGCATCAAATTTTTCCTCTCTGTTCATTCCCATTTTGGGAGAGGGCCAGTGATCACCAAATTTGAAACTTCCTGGAAAATGGATCTCCATGAGAGTACTCAATGACTCACCTACTGTCTCCGTCATTATACCATCCTTCTTTCGGATTAAACCAAGACTTGAGACCGGATCTTTGGTGACCATCTTTTGTAACCGACT